CTGCTTGCTTCCCGTAAAGGAGGAAGGTACTTCACAGGGGTCTAGAACACGAATTTTGGATAAATTTTCTGAAAAAAAAGTTAGAACTTATCATAGTAACTATAGTGATATTTAACTTACCTTCAATCTCGCAGGAGTGGTTAGAACACTCAGGTTGATGCCCACTTGGTAGTATACATGCAGTATTTTGACTTGCAGTAGTATCTGAGTCTAACTGTATTGATTGAGTCTTATCGCTCAAGGTTTGTGTATTCAAAGGTGAACTACTATTTTAAATTAGTAAACAATTATGATAAGTATGGTGAAAGTGGTAACACACTGGTATTGAGGAGAATGCTCGTCCATCTTGGTATCTATGAATAAGTTGAAACCTCTTTAGAGAAGGGAGAAGTTTTCACGAATGTTAAGATAAGATAGTTTTTTTTGTACAGGAGACTGAGAGATTTGCACATAATATAGAATTTATTTCATTAGTTTACAAGAAAAAGAAAAAAGCAGATTTATTAGGGTATGGTATTCAAAATTACTCTGCCCTATAGAGTGTTGCCAGGGGTTAAAAAAAATTCTCAATTGAAGGTAAGAGAAACCGTTTCGAAACAGAAGTGCTCCATTTCACCTGTTGCAACCATTTTGAAATGGACCGTTCCTGAACGGTTCCGTTCCCGCCAAACAGAGCCTTAGAAGTGTTGGACGGGGACCTTTTCGACTGCTCGCCGTATATCCCCCTCTCACGAAGACCCCATCAACAACCCTAACCCTATTGCGAACATGCAACCACTTCCGTACTCGTATGGTGTGTTTTGCTTTGAGTCACCGATCCCTGCATGTTAACACCACAATACAACTGAGAATTGCCAGTTACAAACCCACGGCCGGTGCGACACCAAACACATATCCGACTACTCCTTGCCCAACCTACGGTCGGATACCTAGGCTCTGCTTTACCAGCTTGACGGAGTAGGTCCTAGGAACAAATCCCCCGGCTTTGGTATCATAATTATCATATCATACGCGGGGCGAAAATCTTATCTTGGCATTAGTGGATAAGATAAGAGTTGATTGTTATACGGCTACGATACCAAACAGGGAGGGAGATTTGTTCCCAGGTTGACTCAATGTCACTCGCGGCTGTTGACACTCGAAGAACAATTCCTGCCTTAGCCAAACATATCCTCAGTCGGATTATATTGTACCCTCAGTCACACTCCCACATTCACCGGGAAATAAGAAGGACCGGCAATGACACGGCGATGGGAATTTACCATAACGGAGTGGGATAGAGGATCTGGTGTGTGCTGGAAATATGCGGGAAAGGACCCGCATGATCCATGAAGGATAACCGGCATCCTGTTTTGCTTTGTTAGTTGTTTTCATCCATCACCGGTTCTGTACATCTCTCCCTACTCGGCCGCCTGTACTCCGTTCATCAGTCATTAATTCTTCCCCCACCCTGCATTCCCCGCCCTCCTGGACTATATCCCTATCAGATATTTGTTTCCGCTCTTTATACTATACTCGTTTTGCTGCTGTATCCTTAAATCAAGTGTCCAATCCTCTGTTCGTAAACCTTGCTAGACAAAATGGCCAGTACCGTACTGGCGATCAGACTTTTAGTTTTGCCATGTTACTGATCGTCGTTTCGGTTCGGTTCGTTGCCGTTCCGTTCCGTCGCCGTTTCAAAAGTCGTCGCAGTTTAACAGTTATTACGACAGCATGCTGCTAAATAATTTCAGATCACACCAAGCCATCCTTGCGACGCTATCCCGCTCCACTACGGAGGTACAGCTCCTAATTTTTGTATGTTACACCAGTTGCTCACACAATCCCCACTGCGAGTGTAACATACAAAACTTAGGCGTACAGAACACAATGCCCGGAAAAAGGAACAGAGTGATACTAGGAAGCAAAGTTTGAACACCGGGTTACAGTTCAATATAGTGGTGTAAGTGCTCGAGCACAAGAGAAATACTTGTATGCTGTTTAGTCCGTTTCACGATTTCATACCATAAGTCATAAAGACACATTTTTCCCGGGGGGTTCTCCAGCCAAATCCATTAATAGCTTCCAAGCTTTCAAATTTTATAGAGACCCATTGCCCATACCAAGGATGACGTAGGACGAGGCGTTTAACGAGTGCTGGTATGGTCCTGCTCCTCTTAAAAGAGGCAGCTAGGATTTTAATGCACAAGCCGTACTGCGGTGTGATCCGGTGACAACTTCCACAGCCACTCCGAACTGTAAGCTAACTTATAGGACTCGGCACAGCACTATGGAGCGTATTTTATACGACAGCCATGTACGCGGCAAGTCAGTGGGGTTTGCGCTTAGCTTGGTTGGGGATGGGTAATTACTTCTTTGGTCCGGAGATGGCTGTCTTTTCGGGGGTGACTATCATTCAAGTAAAAGAGGTTGTTCTTCCTTGAGAGTTTATCTGTTTTATTTTCCTTTCCGGCTTCCTGTTCCCCCAACATCATCGATAACGAAAAGGCTATCTGCTCAGAAGCATTTCTTAAAGTGGATCAGGTGGTGAGAGGTCCAGCTCCCCTTTCCTTCTTTTGAATAAAACGGAATACCCGGCGAGCAGTGGAAAAATTATCTATTTCCTCCCCATAAGGCGAAGCATAAGTTTGGAGCTGTCGGACAATACCTACCCCCGCGTCCACGAAACGCCGAGGGAACTCAAGCGCCAACAGTGCAGTGGCGTACTACCTGCTGATTTGATAAGCGGCAGGACGCCTCACTGATAAGTCCAATCGGGGGCTCAGATCCTTGGCGACAACGTGTCTGAATATACTAGTACTTGAAAACGGCGAGCGGAGAACAGTGCCGAGTACGAGTACGAGTACTAGTACTGTACAGTGGACGAAGCACGTGTTGAATATGTCCGTACCGGAATTGTCCAACAATGTGTTAAACGCCATCGACAAGTGACAGTGCCCATTGTGCAGCGCATAAAGTTAGCCTTACTCGAGTGCTGTACCGTAAAGCTTCTCTGCAGGAAGTGGCTTGGCGGAAGGCGAGCTTGTTGCGTGTGCTATGTACCGTACAGTACCACATTGTTGGCTCCAATGGTCGCTCGAGTAGGGGTACTGGTAGTGAGTAAGCAAATTGTTGGCAAACCCTAGTTGGGATGGATGCCACCAAAGAATCTCGGACGAGTCGAGGGGAATGGGGAGGTTGTAGTACTGTACCGGTACTTGAGTACAGCACAAGTACCTTATAATCTCGGGAAATCCACTTTCTCCGTCAGCCCCAAATCTCCGGATTGTCGGTAAAAAAGTCCTTAAGAAGGATTAGTGCTTTCCTGACACGGTGTATCCTATGGCTGTGTTGGATCTCGTTAACCTGACAAGCTAAACCTATCTTGGGCTGATGTCGCGATCTACACAGCCCGGAGATATTGGATTTCACGAGATTATACGGTACTCCGTAGACTACCTGTACTTTACTGCAGGAGAACCATTTCCTGCAAGGGATTGAGTACAGTACTAGTATTGGTACTGTGCCCGGATACGGTATTGGTGGGTACTGTAGGCCGTTGCTTTTTTCAGCCTGCCACTCCGATCGCCTAAGATTTTGTCGTCCTTGTACGGTACTGTACCGGAGCACTTGCACCATGGAATATTGCTGAGGTTGATTCCTAACCATATGGCGCTCGAAGAGTGCGTTTCACCTCCCCGGCCAAGGAGTGAGTTGGGGAGTTTCCGGTTCACCGGGAGGTTAACTTGTTACCTATGATTTAGTTTTCAGAGGCGGCACTTATGCCCACCCTTTTCGCCTAAGATTCCTCACCACATCAACACTGCCACCGGGGCATAAAAAAATGCATTGTTGGCAACGGGGTAGTTCTCCAATGCTAAGGGTAGTCTGCGACGAGGGCGGACTACCGGCACGAATGCTAGTCGGTCCATCTTATCCCCACGAAACCAGATCGCCCGGGCCCTTGGTGGAACGACGAGGAAGACGATAGGTCCCACTAGCGGTTGATAAAATATCCCAGAATGTGGGCCCCCTGTGGCCTCTCCGGAATCATATCGGAGAGGTTAGCTGGCGAAGCTTGATAGGCTTGCCGCGACCTAATAGGGCCACCACGACTTGCTCACATCTATTCGTAAATATAATTGCACTTTCGCTACCGGTAGCATCCTCTCGCGGGATTTATGCTAGCAAACAGATTTCTATCTTGATGTGATTCATGTCATGAGAGAAGGTACGAAACTTAACTCTCGATTTTATATCGCCCGATACGCACTGGCAGACCACTTAAATAGCCAAAGAGATAGAGAAAGGCGAAAGTAAAAGGTTAAAAATTATAAGCACTCAAAGGACGGGATGTACATCCCGACCCACATAACTCGGTCAGCGGCTTCTAGTTCTCCCGTCTCCTCTGTGCTTCTACTCGTAATTCGCCGATCCCTTATCGACCTACCGGTAGTTGTCCCCTGCCGAGCCCCACCACAGCTCCCCAGCAACCCCGAAGGATCCTGACCGATTCCCACAGTTCATGTAAGGGTGCATTTGTCTTTTTTACTTTTTTCACCCCATTCAAATCTAGGTTGCCATACCCTACCCCTCCATTGGTGGCTGAAGAGCAGGCTAGAGAAGATTTTTGTGATAGCGGGATTATATAATTGGATCTCGCTAGAAAATCTTGAGCCTTCAGATCATCGAGGGCGCAGCAAGGCATACCGGTACCGGTACGGAGGTACGAGTACTGTACTCGAGTCCTAGTATAGTACAACACCTAAGTTTTGTATGTTACACGAGTGGCTCACACAATACCCACCGCTGGTGTAACATTCAAAACTTAGGCGCTGTGCTAATACTCGTACCTCCGTACAGTACGGTATCGCATTGTGCCGGGTTTCATGCAGATGCCTGTAGGTTACCCTATTCCAAGGCTGACACCGTCAAAAGTGCCCAACCTGGCCTATAATTTCATTATCCTCGGTTGCCGACCCGCCTTAACAGGTTTCAAATAACTTTAACTAAAAGCTTGCCCCTCAACCACGCCTCAGAACAGCTTCCTCTCCTTTCGCTGGACAGGGAACGGGTGAGTGTTTGGTTGTCGAGTTGCTGCTGAACGAATGTTGAACCCCAAAAAGAAGTTCCGGAAGTGGACCGCTATATCTCCAGGTGACGATCACCACCACAGAGAAGGAGGAAGTAGATCTTCCTCAATAGAATTGTTGGCTCTAGGATCCGAGACCACTCGAGAATGGTCAACCTCCCTCTCATCGGTATGGAAACCGGTTTGGTACACGGGTTGGCATACTGGCGTCTTAGGCTGTGCCGCTTCCGTTGTTCTAGTTCTTTTTATAAACACCGGTTTAACGATCTACGCTGCAACGAATCCGGAGTACAAGATGGAAGGGGGAGTTGGGACGTTGTATTTGGGTAGTTGTGACAAGAGTAGGACGATCGGGATGTGGTTGCATCTCGGGATAAATGCCCTTTCGACACTTCTGCTGTCCGGGAGTAACTACACGCAGCAGTGTCTCGCGGCACCGACGCGCAGCGAGGTTGATGCAGCGCATGCGAGGAGGCTATGGATGGACATTGGAGTTCCGAGTGTTAGGAATTTGTTCAGGATTAAGTGGGAGAGGACGTTGTTGTGGATTGCGATTGGGGTTACGAGTATTCCTCTGCATTTGCTGTAAGTTTATGTTGTCATGCTCGCCTGAGTTCTGGGAGGAAGGTTAACTGGAATATTGCAGGTACAATTCCGCAGTTTATAATTCGATAGCGGCGAACGATTATGTAGTAACCCTCGTGACCGACAACTACATTGAACAAGCGCCCCAATCGAATGCGACCGAGGCGCTTCTCGACTTCTACCAGGAGTTATACAACATCGAAAATCGAACGACCATGAATTTTCCCATGTATGGGGGGGTGGCTGAGACGTTCAATGGTGTGCTGGAGGGATACAATACCGGTGCCCAGGCGTACGAAGACTTGACACCCGGTGGCTGCACAAAACTTTATAACACCGACTTTATCTCCAGCCACAGAAACTTATTCCTAATCACTGGACAGGGTTCCAATGTCACGAGCAATAACACTATTATAAATATTATGGAGGTCAGTGCCGAGGGGATCTCGCCAAGTAGTTGGATGTGCGATTACGAAGAGGCGACTGAGGGGGGATCTTACCTTCGGACAGGTCGCACCTGCATCTCCAACAACCTAGTCTCGAATGTGACGGGTGGGGCTCCATGGCGGGTGCAACTCTCAACAGGGAGCGAAGTAGAGATAAGCGGATGCAAGAGCGAGAAGATATCCGAGCTGGAGAAGTGCAAGGTGCAGTTCTCCCTAGGAATAATGATCGTCGTTATCTGCTGTAATTTTGTTAAGGCTGGTTGTATGGTCATGGCGGTGGTTAGATCTCGAGAGCCGACTCTGGTTACGTTGGGTGATGCCGTGGACTCCTTTTTGAGAAACCCAGACCCAACGACAGAAGGGATATGCTTTGCCGATCGGCAGTTTGCAAAGCAGCAGTGGAGGCATGGGGGGAGGACAGGGCCGAGGCAGTGGAAGCAAGAGGGGGTACAGAGGTGGTGGACTAGCGTTAGTAAGACGAGATGGATAACTTGTAATTTTTTCTTCTTGATAACCATCATGGTCTCGGGGGTGTTACTTCGAATGGGGATCCGCAATGATGGGAAGTACTTTGATATCGATCTTAAGTCAATGTAAGTCATCCCTCCCCTAGTACTCCCTTCGAGAACAATGTTAAGGGAAAGAAAAAAAAAGGTTGAAAAGAGGGTTTGGAAAAGTAAGCAGCGGCTCCATTCTCAACATCTACTTCGGAAATATAACCCAGGCAATCCTCCTGGCTAACCTTCCACAAACAATCCTATCATTCCTCTACTTAACCTACAATTCCGTCTTCACCTGCATGCTCTCGGGCCACGAATGGTCCCTCTTCAGCCACCATCACCGCACCCTCCGCGTCACATCCCCGCGGCCAGGCCAGCGCTCCACATACTGGCTTCAAATACCTTACACCTACGCCATCCCTCTAATGACCCTGAGTGGCCTCCTCCACTGGCTGACCTCGCAGTCAATATTCCTTGCGAGGGTGGAGATATGGGACCCACTTGGGAGGGGGATTGTAGGAACGATAAGCACCGTGGGGTACTCCTGCATTGCCATAATTTCCGTCCTCACGCTGGGAATTATCGCCCTGCTGATTGCCGCCGGGATGGGGTATAGGCAATTTTCCGCCGAGACTGCTACTGTTGGGAGTTGCTCTGTGGCGATCTCGGCCGCTTGCCACGCCTGGGAGGAGCCGGATGTGATTATCGGGAAGAAGGTTCGCTGGGGGGATGTGGGAATTGTGCAAGATCTGGGGTTTAGACACTTGACGTTTTCGAGTGAGGAGGGGGTTGGGAAGCCGATTTTTGGGGAGGTTTATGCTGGGAAGAGAGAGGGGAGGAGTGATAGTTTATGACTTTGTTTTTAGAGAGGGTTTCTTTTCTTTCATCTTACCATAGAGGAAAATCGGATTTGGGAGGTTCGAACTATATATATTTCGCTTAGATATTCGAAGTATGGGGAGAGTTGTGTTGTATATTGCTCTGGTGAATAATATGGGCTTGGTGTGAACGACGGTCTGCAGATTTATGGCGTAGTTATATCTGATACACAGTTTTGATTGCGGTCATGAAATATCACCAACACACCGCTGACCAGGCCCCTGGTGCTACTAGTGTCCATCAAATTCAATGAGAACGCCACCCATAACACCCCACTCAACCGACCACCTCCTCCACTACCGGTAGTGGATGAGTTGCTTATTTCCAACCGCCAGATGCCACCGCGGCTAAAAACCGCTTAAGCAATCCGGGGCATGATACCATGGCTTACAACCCCTCAATGATTCTTTCCAAGAGCACATTGCTGAACTTCCATTTCCCGAGTAACTTAAGGCTATTCTGATAGTCATACGAGCTCCTGCTTGGCCACCGGTTCCGACACGTTACAAGTTGACAGGGCCTTACTCGACCTCGAGCGCGTGATCGGCTGAATGAACTTGTAGGAGAACTAATGACCTTTTTGTGAAAATGGAAGGGCAGGAAATGAAAGTACTGCCCGGGAACCAAACCCATGAAACCCGAGGTGGCTTCCATGGGATGATAGCACATAACTAATACCGCGGAGCTCGGCTCATTAGCGACGGTCAGCTTTTAGTATGGAGAATGTCTCATCCCACCAAAACTGCTTTTCGTCAGCACCGGCAGGTTGTCCTAAAGTTGTAAACGTGTCAACCTTTCATAAAAAAGTTACCGGAATTGCATGGGATAATTATTTTCATATTCTCGGGGATTATTCATTACTGTGGCCAATTCTTAAACTGAAAAAAATATCTGAAAATTTTCAGAAATAAGTACCAAACACTCCAAAGAGGATCGAAAAAAGCCTCCCGTTTTTCAAAATTTGTCCTGATAACCTTTTCGCATCAGCATGGAGTGTTCCAACTCATAATGGCCTTTTTCTTTAGTGTCGGCAAGTTGGAGTGTCCTTAATAATCTGAATTCTACTGTGGCGGGATCACCTAGAAAGTGAAAAGTGAAGATGAATCATGAAAGCCGTGCTCTAAACTCCAGTCGCGCCTGTGCTAGCCGTTTTTTAAAGTCTCCAAAACGGAAGAAATGGTTCAGTCGTCGGATAACTGACAGCTAAGCCAGCACGAGGTTCTGTCGGAACTCCCGTAACTTGAACTCAAGGATATAAAATCACGTTCCAGGTGCTCGAGAGAACAACTATATAACATCACAAACTCCTTGGAACTATCTAGGTTTCTGAACACTACACGTACTCTATAGAAACGGAAGAACAGTGATACTGCGTATTCAGTAGTGGTTTTCTTCGCTGTATTCTATACATTTGTCAAAGCTAACTGTCAGCAATTAAGAGCAAGCTTCTACTGCAAGAGGCAGCGCAGTTCTGTAGTTTTTAGGTGACAGAGAAAGAGGAAATGAAGCTTGTTTTGTCTACTAGCCGCACAGGAGTGAGTTTATATATTCGAGCAGAGAAAGATGGGAATACGGGGGAGAAAAAGCGAGGGAAACCCGGGTTCGGGATCACGTGAAAAGCTAGGGAAGGCGGAAAACAAAGGAAAGGATAAGAATAACAAGTAATGACAAAACGGAGCACCATGGTTGAATAAGCTATGACTTTGATGTAATGATTCCAGTCCTCATAAACCTGTTTGTTTTAGGAAAAAAGAATCAACAGGTTTCAGGTCAAATGACCACTACCAACAGGAAGGCTTTCTCGATTTAAAGATTATATAAATATGACTAGATACTAGCTGCCTTGATCCATAATTCGAATTTCTGGAAATAATAACTGGAAAACTATGATCTTCAGCTTTGAAGCTGGGACATTTCGTATGGGGGAATCAAGGAGTGTCCGCCTGCGGATTGTGGGCGGGAACAAGCGGGGGCACACATTTTTGGGGGTAGGATATCTCGCTTGTCCCAATTCGGCAAATTATATTGATCCCCGAGGCGTAGACTGTGGATTTCTATTATCAAAGATGAGTTATAGCAGTGTCCTGACTCCAACGGGTAGAGAAATTTTCAAAATTGCCTGCAAGATTGCGAATAATTAAGTATCATAAGAAGTACCAGGCTTTTCTCAGCAGTCGAGCTGGACAATGACCACATGCGTAGGTTGGTCGTGACCGGAATCATATGACATGGGTGGGGGGGGGATTACTGAAGTCAAGTGAAGTCTAACCACGAGAGTAGGGAAGGAAAAATTAGAAGTGCAGTACCCAATTGTTAAACAAGGACTAGTAGCGGGGGTAATTGCTGTATTCGGGGGGTTTCGTGAGTTTTTGGTTCAGATTCTACAGGCACAAGAGATATCTAGTGATTCCGCCACTGATTCATCACACAAAAGATCCCTTGTACTTTTTTTTTTCCATTTCACGCTTTTTAAACCAAACTAAAGTATCCGCACCATCCCTCGTACAACGTACCGAAACAATTTTTTTATCCTTTCCTCCCCCTTTCTCCTTTCCTACAATCCATTCCCTCGTACAATCCCTTCCCTTCTGCATGTTCCAATACTTTGCCGCTACTGCGAACACTAAATTAACGGAATCCACAAGACACGATGTCCGTCGTGGAGCACTTAGGTCAGAGCTTCTCATCGTGAAAGATGACTTACCGCAAGATTAAGTGGCTGTGTGCTACCACTCTCTTGGCTTTTGTGGCCATAATTTGATAAGCGGTAGCGAGTGAGGAAATTTTTGACGAGCTCTACTTTGGATGGACGTCACAGGAGAATTCCGGACCAATTGCGAGAGGCAGTGGTTGAAATCATGGATGCTGCTCGGCATGCTCATGACTTTGTTCTCTTGTCCACCGGCATATCCGTCCGTCGGCATCCCTACCCGTCCGTATGTTGCCCGTCTACATATCCGCTGTACTATACGTTCCCGGAGCCGACCGTTTGTCCGTTCCCGCCTGTTCGCTCCCCTCCCGCCTTTTTTGTTGGCGCACTTGCTTTGTTGGGGCGGAGGTTCTTGTTGCGCGCTTTGGAAAAGCGCTTCCGACGGAGAAGGATATAAACGGCAAGGGAGTTATAGACGGTCGGGAGTCTTTGTTCTAGTATTTCTTTTGTTAGCACGGGAGCGCTGAAGTCAACGGGAGCGCTGAAGGCAATTGAAAGATTTTTAAAAAAAAAGACAGGCATGACGGTGCAAGGTAGCGAGCGAAATAGCGCATCTACCTCGCTTGGTGTGCTGAGCTGGAAACCCAATAGCCGTCTCGATTGATTAGAGACTTTGCGGTGGATGTACAGTACAGTATCCGGGATTCCTGCATGTCAAGAACACTGATTTTTCAGCTAGAGATGGGTAAATTATGACTTTTCGGTGGATCACTCGCAAGCCGTGTCACTGCACATTGCTATGCACTGATGCAGGCAGATAAATCTCCAGCTCGGTAAGCTCTGGACCGAACTCAAGCGGTGCAAGGTCAACATGGCTCATTCTGTGGCTCCTCAGGTTTCAACAATGAAAGGAATTTTGAAAAATGGGGTGGCGTTGGTGGTGTTAGGGGGGGGGTCAAAGTGGTTGAGGTCTAATTCGTTGAATTCGCTCTTGTCGTGGAGTCAAATCAAGGTCTGGGGTATATCAGGGCTTCGCCTATGCACGCCAAGATGGGTATAAATTTATGTCTAAGCAGGCTAGGACTCAGTGGCATTGTTGCACCACTGCAAGGTCGGGCTAATTCACAGTATATTAGGGTAAAATTAATGTGATCAAAAAATATAAAACTGTGACCATGTTTCCCGATGTGAGTGTAGCGGTATATCTCCTTTCTTCGACCTGGGCTTCCGAGATGTTAATTGAACCGCAGTAACACATTTGTTCCAAATGGGGGTATCGCATATCCTGATCGGGTTGGGAGCATTTGTGATTCGTGCTCTGTTGCCTAAGCATGATTTCGCCCAGTGGGGAAATACCGTGTAACCAAGGCGGGGCAAGAGATTTCCCACTTTTCTCAAAGCTTCCTTCCCCCAACATTCGCCCCTCTGTCACCGATACCCTACTCGAGCACTTTCCACATCCACTCTCGCCTAACGGTAAACTTTTCCCCAACAAACGAGAGCAACAAAACTCGTACGCTTGACAAAATGAGCCGAACATTATTAAATTTTCAAAACTCAAGCGTGATCGGCAACAACCACAACAGTGGGAATATCGTAAACAGTTACAACTCTATATCCATATCTGGAGACAAAGGCCAGGTTCTGGAGTGGCTATCACCATGGACATCACGGGAAAGGCACGGGACTGTTCGTAACGAGCGGGCGGGTGGAGTCGGAAACTGGCTGCTTCGCGAGGAAAGCTTTTCTACATGGCATACATTGGAGAATGCGAAGCCTGTGCTATTATGTCACGGAGATCCGGGCGTCGGTAAGACGTATATCAGGTATGAGCCGCAGTTGCCCCCGGAATGAGTAAAATGCTAAAAGAGCAGCACAGCTCGCTTGTAATAGATACACTTTCCAAAGGAACTTATCGAGAGACTGTGGCCATCACTTATGTCTACTGCGACTTCACAGCTCGCGAGGTTCAATCTGTTCGCAATCTCTTGGGATCGGTGTTAAGGCAGGTTATATCAGCAATGACAGAGACCCCCAGTGAAGTACTGGCTGCGTTTGAGCGTGCGAGAAAATACGCCGATGGTTGTAGGCTCCAACTTTCCGAGATCCTCACGCTGCTCATCGGGTATCTATCGAATTTGAAACGGAACTTCATATGCATCGACGCTCTAGACGAGCTTCCACAAAAGGAGCGGCCCGAGCTTTGGAAGTCTTTGCGGCGCCTTACCCAAGAGTGCCCAGGAACACGGTTATTCCTTACCGGGAGGCCCCACATCGGAGAGGAAGTACGGAAATATTTTCCTGAAACTGTAGAGATGTTGCAGATAGACACCCGTGCGGGTGACGTCGGGTTATACCTTAGGGCCAGATTGGATGGAGACCCGGAGTTGGGTGCAATGAACGAGGAATTAAAGGCTGATATTCTCAAAGTTATTCCGGAAAAGATCTCGGGGATGTATGTATTGTCCCTAGGTGTTGAA